CGAGATATTGCGTATGCAGAAAAACCACTCGGTTTTCCTAGTGGCGTCTTTATAAACGAAGCAAAAACCAGCGACAAAAATACAGGACCACGTTTTTCTGTTACATTGAAGACCACATGCAAAAATTCAAGCCCTTTTGTGAAAATTTTTTTTTTCACCCAAATCGTCACTTAGCATGGTTTTGCACTCACCCCTTCAATTGCTCACTTGAGGAGGCCCTACAGCACATTTTGGATGGCCACTTTTAAAATTCTGGCTAAAAGCCTGATGTTATTATCCCTTGCCAGTAATGTAAATCAGGTACTTGTGAAATTTCGTAACTACATGCACCACTGATTGAGTAAAAAGTATCTTCTCTATAATATCAACTACTTAGTAATCACGAATGGTCCTTTTTTTCTGGAAAATCTCAAATCAAGACCTTGGCTTACTGTATCGAGTGAACAATAACAAGGTCAATAGGCAAGGCAGAGGCTTGCTTTGTTTTTGCAGGCCTGTAATCAGCTTGTGTGCATTATGGAAGAATAATGCCCCAGAAGTAGCCAATCAGAGTATGTGTTATATCTGTTACCTGATGTATACAAACACAAGCCATATAAATTTATTAACTCTATCTTGTTTTACTGCATACTTCAGAAATGAAGTCATACCCAAGTTGAGGGAGTATAACATATTCTTTGAGGGAAGAAAAGCTCTGCAGTTAACCAGCAAGGAGGTAAATAAATGTCTTCACAGGTTATAAGAATCACTTTCTGTTTTATATACTGAATATTTATTCAGATATATTTGGTGACCTTCAACTTATGATTTTTTTTTGTTAATCCTTATTATAATGTATTACCAGTAACCCTGATATACACCTGGAGTCTCAAAGACACAATCGAGCTTGATGTAATATCGCTGTCAGAAGTGGCTCTGTTTAAGATTGGGAATTTGTCAATAGTCAAGAATAGTTGTGACTTTGATATTTCATAATGTTATGCTAGAGTATTACTTTCAGAACCTTGAAACATTTACGAGAAAGAAATATGTCTTAATAAATTATGTATCATGCATGGTTCTATAATAAGTATGTGCTCTCGCATCACATCTTTTATCTGGGAGTTCAAACTGAAAAATGGAGGGTGATCTACGTGCATTCTTGCTTTTGTACTCATTCTGTTGTTTTAAATTAATTCATCTCATTTTGGCATTTGGCTTCTCAAGCCCTTCTGAAGTCATTTTACTTCCTCTCTGATTTGAGGAAACCATGAGTGTTTTGCCTCATGTTCATAATAAACCTGTTTCAATTACATGTATAGTGATTTAGCAGTGTGCAACATGATGTGTGAAAACATTTCTAAGATGCACATGCAATTTGGGATTGACTTGACGTGTTTCAGCCAATTTCTGAGCTGTCTGGCAGTTGTGAAATAATGTGTGCGCAAATTGTAGAGAATAATTTAGGGAAAACATGTATAGGGTTTTTGGACTGTGACTGAACATCTTGGCTATCTTTGTATCTGCTCAGTCAAGGCTGCATGTACATGTAGCTAGAGAGGAGGCACAGAGTCAGGGTGTATTCTACATTTTCAACTACGCTAGCACCATGGGATAGAAATTGAAAAGAGTCATAGACTGTAATCCCTTAAGATTCTTCGCATTTTGACCTTTTTTAAAATTTTTTCGAAAATATCTTCAAGAGAAGGCATAAAAAATTAGCATTTCAGAGCCTCTCAGTTATAAAATTTTCTGGGGAGCCTCCCTAGAGGCTTGTCCCTCTGGCATTTGAATCAGTGTCAGCCGTCTGCTTCATGAAACAAACCCTCTACTCCCTAAATTAATGAGAACGTTGAACACAGTAAAAGTAAACTTCAGTCTCCCTTCTTGAGCATGTCTCACTTTTTGTATATAATTAAATAATAACTTTTTCAGGTTGGAGGCAGGCTTATTCTTGAAGGTGTTCTCAAGATATACTGGGGATTAAAGGTGCCTGTTACGCTAGCGAGCCACAACCTTTCCTATTGGAGGAGACGCTCTCAAAAAGAGCAGAATGGTTATGCAAGAGTCTTAGCTGCTAAGAACAAAGATGGCATTGTGAGTACATTTGGATGAAAATGTTAGAACCAACAGCTTGTCTAGCAGTGTTCGTGCTTCAAATGTGATTTTCTTTAGCATGAAGTTTCTAGCCAGGAGTATTGCTACTCAATCCCTTGGAATTCAATGCCGTTCGTTCTTGTATTAACAGTAAACCCCCAGAACTTTTGTCAGGTCAACCCAAATAGATTTGCTGGTCTGACGGTCAGTGTGCCGGACTCCTTACAAATGAAGGGCTGCATGGAAAAAAGCTATAAGTGACTCTTGATCTCATGTCGAATTCTCCTTTTTTCATTGAAGGACGTGGAAACTAATTTGCTAGGAGAATCTTCCAGTCTATCAGATGTCACTCAGGGTCTTTTTTTCATGCTCATGTAACCCTGCAAATACCCTTCAAACTGCCATCACATCATACATGTAGTTCAGACAATGATAGCCTAAAACTTGGCCTTTTACTGTAACTAATTACAGTGTATATAACTGTGTTTACATATCTGGCAACCATTTTATACCATTTCACGTTTTAAAAAGTTTACATAGTAGGGAATGGCAGATCTAGGGGAGGGGACTGGGGGTGTCCACCCCCTACCCCCCTTATCGGTGAAAACACATAAGGTCCAAACAGCCAAAATAATTTGGGTCCTGGAGGGGGCCTGGAAAAATTATTGTGCCGTTACCTTATAAAGAGGTGTGGATTGGCCACTGCAGGGCTCTGTGGGATGACCATGACTAAATGTGTGTTTGGCTGATCAAAATCACAACCCCTCAGGGATTATGGACAAAAGTGAAGTGAAGTGATGATCAAAATGTTTTGCTTTAAAACAGAGACCAAGAACTAGTAGCTTGGAGAAGGTTCTTGCCAGGCGTCGTTCCTTACTAGTTAACAACAGAAACATCCCAGACGCAGGGGACCAGAGAACCATTCTGGATTTTACAGTTCAGGTGAGAGCTCTTGTATGCAGTAAAGCCTGGTTCACACTTGTGNTGTGTTTTATTTATTAGCAGTTTACTGAAAAACGTACAAAGAAATAATAAAATAAAAGTTGTGCGACATTACAATGTTGCTGACATCATTGTCATGGTAAAAATGAGAGTTTTATTGCGGTGTGAATATAGAGTAGTGGAACTTTTATTATAATAGATGTAATTGCTTGTGATCTCTGGTAGCCTTTGAATGTGCAAACTGACTCTATCTGTGCGAACTATTTACATGAGACCACAAACAAATGCCTGTTATACTAATTCCACTAATTTATATTGACACTGTGATAGAACTGTCATTGTTACCTTGATAATGATGTCAGCAACATTGAAACATCGGAAAACTCTAATTTTGTTTTATTTATTATTTCTATTTTCAGCTATATGTTATATCGTCAGAAGTTGCAAGAGAGACTTGCAGAAATCTCCACTGCTGTATAACAGAACGCAACTGCCTGCTAGGATTTCATTAATTTTTTTTTTATTTTTATGCTATAATTCTAAAAGAAATATATTTATTTATTTGTTTAAATAAAATTAAACCTAAAGGTAACTTAATAAATAATTATAGATGTTCTTAGACTACAAGTAGTCCCTCTTTTGCTTGGTCCATCCAGTGTGTCTGCAAGCCATTTTTTTCATGCATGACTGACCAAGCGAAAGATGGACTATACTCATAGTCTAGATGCATTAGGCACTTTTCTAAAAGAATTACAGGTCAAATGCTAAGAGTTCTTTTTGTAAAAAAATGTACATAGCTTCTTGTATGTTAACTATCGAAATCAGAAAATTGTGAACAGAAGACTTATTGGTGGCATGTTGTTATGTCATACGGTTAAACCAATCAAATACAAGATGAAGAAACAATGAAAGCCACCTGTAATATTTTATTGTATCCAGAGGTTTAGCCTATCATTGGATTTGTTGTGATACACTTGTTGAAAATTTGAGAGTTTTCAAAGCCATATCGCACAAAAAGTATTTACATAATATATCAGGCTCAAATTTCTTGTGACATTTTTCAAATTGTGCCACACCCTTTCAACATTTAGAGATGACATTTTTTTGTAGCTTAATCAAATACTGAGGTGTCTATAGTACATTGTAAGCTAGTAAGGCAACTATTGTTAACAAAGATTCTCCTATAGAGTAACTTAGAGAGACAAATACGACCTTCCGTATGGTACTCTTGCAATCCATTTTGTGAGCCTGTGTTCCTTGCCTGGTTAAAAGAAGGGGAACAATGGGTCTCCCAAAACAGCTGGCAATTGAACCCATCCTTGGGATGAATATAGGTACGGTAAACACCTGCATAATTATAAGAGCCTATGATTTCGGGGTTCAGGCTGATCTAGTTCTTACTTACCAGGTACTTAGAGAGAAATCAGCCGGAAAAATGTTCTTAAACTGGAAACGACATTTAAATCCTTCCAGCTGTAGCTCAGAGTTATTCAGTTGGACCTGGTTAATTCGAACTTGGTTATTCTGAATTCCCCATTATTTCGAAACTCAAAACCATTTCCCTTGGCTTTCACTTTCAATTATTTACTATCAGCTATTTCGAACTCCCTCTGCTTCGAACAATTTTTCGTTCCCTGCGGGTTTGAAATAGCGGGTTCAGCTGTAGTTCTTTAATATGAATGCTTTCTTATTCTGGCATCCTCTTTCTTTTTATACAAGTACATGTTTTATGTATCAGGCTGAATAATGGTTCTTATATATATGGTGCTTTGTTTGCAAAGTTTCAGCCTGATGTTCTTACCCCACTTGTTCTCATATGCAGGTGTTTACTATATTTTCTGGTCCTACACATGTGGTGTGGTTTTTGTCTCAGCTGTGGTTTTGGCAGGCACTCAGGTCAAAAATTCACAGCACTCTGTAATTTGGCCCACATCAACAAACTGCAAGAGAGATGAAATTTGATTTCTCCTTACTGACTTTGCATTGTCATGCAGATGGTGTTGAGAATGAGGGATATGAT